TTTATCTTCTGCAGATACATTTACTAGAAGAGAAGTTAACTTTGAGAAGATATCTTCTCAGTTTCTTCTCTTCTTCAACTTCTTACAATCACTGATATAGTGATTATAATTCATTAACTCTGCAGTTAAAATAGAGATCTTTATCAAATCTTTTTTAATATTTCTTTGCAGTGAGTGAAGAATCAGAATACTTAGAATTCTTCTTTACTTTCTTCATACTGAAGCTGTTATGATGCTGTTTAGATTCTATTGTTGATTACTTAGAAGAGATCTTATTAGTCTTTTTCTCAGAGAATTGATTATTCAAATAGATCTGAGAAGTCAGATTGACAAGCTCAGTGTAATTAATTGATAAACTCTGATATTATAATATTATTATCTGTATCTTATAAGTCAGCTTTATGAGATAAAGCTGTATTTTTAATTAATTCAAATTATCAGTTAATTCCTCTCAATATTCTTCAAATCTTGTATTGAAATTGAAAGAATTCTTATTATCTTATTAATATAATGAGTTAAACTGCTGTATCACTGTGAAGCTGCAGTTGCAGTGATCTTTAATTTAATTCAGTAGAAAGTTCTTGAATTCTTCTCAAGTCATGATAGTATTGATACACTTAAGCTCTCTCTTCTTAATAACTCAAGTAGTTGCAGAGATGCCTTCAAGAAGATTGACAGTGTATATTACTTATATCTTATAAGTATTATACTGACTCAGATTAAGGCAGAATTTTCATTCAAGAGTATGAGTAAAGCTGTGAAATTCAGATAAGATGTTTTTCTTATATCTCAGAGAATCTTTAATCTTAATCTCTCTATCTTTATAATAGATATAGATGTGTAGAGACTGTGACAGTGATAGAGCAGTTAAAGAGCTCATGTCAAAATATGCAGTGAGTTCAGAAATCTCAGATTTCTGCTAAAATAGAGATGTATACACTCTAGAGAATAATGTAGTGTTTTTCTCAGAGAGTGAGATTAAGTCAGTCTCAGTATAGATGTATAAAGTTATATCAGTCAGTTAGAGCTTGACTGATTTAAATATATAATCAGATTAAGTAATTTGAATTATAATATAACAGAACTGAAGCAGTGACTAGTCAGTAATATTATATAGAAGTAGTTATTTAAGAAGCTGTATAAGTGAGCTTAACTATTTTACTTAAATAGTGAGCTTATAGACTACAAGATTATTATAAGAATATCACAGATATAATACTTAGTATACTAAGAAGATTGTATAAAATACACAGTAACTCTTATATATATTTCAGTAGAAGAAAAAGATAAATTACTGACTTCTTTGATAAGAAGTCAGTATCTAGCTATTCTATATAGATAATAAGCAGATACTCTTCTCTCATTTTATAAGTGAGAATAGTCAGAGTGATATCTTAGCAGTATCTTATTATTAAAAAAGAGTAATCTGCTGATCTCATATAAAAGCAGAGTTCTTATACTTATTAATCAGATCTTTCTATAATACATTTACATAATGTTATAGAGTGATTGAAAACTGGTTCAGACAGTCTGCAGAATGAATGAAATTATTCACATAAAAGTAATAAGCTGTGTGAAACCGTAATAAGGTCTTGACACGGCCGGGAGCGTGACAATTACTTAAATATATAGATTAAATTTATTTTTATTATTATAATTAATTAACAATCAATTCAGAATCAATTTAAAATTAATTTAATACTGAAATTATTTTTGAATTTAATAATAAAGTAAGTATTTATATAATTTACACTGAATTAATTATCAATTGATTTTCAATCAATTGTTAATTACTTAAATATATAGATTGAATTTATTTTTATTATTATAATTAATTAACAATCAATTCAGAATCAATTTAAAATCAATTTAATACTGAAATTATTTTTGAATTTAATAATAAAGTAAGTATTTATATAATTTACACTGAATTGATTATCAATTGATTTTCAATCAATTGTTAATTACTTAAATATATAGATTGAATTTATTTTTATTATTATAATTAATTAACAATCAATTCAGAATCAATTTAAAATCAATTTAATACTGAAATTATTTTTGAATTTAATAATAAAGTAAGTATTTATATAATTTACACTGAATTGATTATCAATTGATTTTCAATCAATTGTTAATTACTTAAATATATAGATTGAATTTATTTTTATTATTATAATTAATTAACAATCAATTCAGAATCAATTTAAAATCAATTTAAAATTAATTATTAAATATTTTTATCTTAATATATTTTAAAATTCTGTAAAATATCTCTTTATATTCTATATGAATTTGTCTGTTCATTTAATTGATTATGAATCAGCTAATGCTTTGATTGATTGAGTGAATTGAAAGATTGAGTGAATTGAAAGATTGAAAGTCAATTATCAACTGATTATTACTGTATTGTGCGAGGTCGGGGTCATGATTATGTAACGAGGTCAAGTGGCGCACTTAGCGAGGTCAAGTTTTCTGTATACACAACGACATCCGTTCCATTATTAATTTCAAGATATTGCAGATATGAAGATTTCACTGTGATGCCTGGATGTAATTCCGCCAGGAGGTTTCAGGCAGTTCCATTAATACCCCATAACTAGCAGCCCACAATGGGAGAACCACCTAAAAAGACCTTGCAACAGTGTTAGGACTGTTGAACTGGCGCGGTCGGTTCAATTTCCTTACAACTTTTAGGGTGTACAAGATCGAGACCAACAACTCTCACACCGCCTCCTAGGGCTGCAGGGCTTTTGCAGTTTATGAGAAAATCTAGTGTACACCTGGATTTTCTTTTCCTAGGTGCTACAGACGACGAAACGAAGATGGCGAGAGTAATATTTTATGGTCCTACATACGAGTGTGATGGGCCAGATGGGATTGATCCTAGACAAATGCTCGGCAGTATTGCGCGGTCAAATAATGGCATATGAAACATGTCGCTAGCGGAGATTGCGAAGGATAGGCTGAGAGCAGCAGGCGATTTGACATGAGGCATATGAGTGAACAGCTCGAAGCTGCAGAGGGAAGAAAGGCCGAAGGAAGGAAGCCGGATAACTAGCTGAAGTGCTGAGGATGGGTATAGAAATCTTCTGCGAGTTGGTGCCTATCTAATTTTACATATCTTCCCCCCTCGGTCCCCGCTTATTAAGGATTAACCTTGAATTTGGTGCAGTCATCCTGCGCGCCGCGCTTGGGAACCGGCATAATGACAGGCTGATGGTTGGCTGCTGCTGTCAAAGTGCAAACGCGATAAAATCCGGCCTTCCCAAGACCCGCATCAAGCCTAGCGGTGAAACTGTTTCCTTTATTATTCGGACTGTTGACGCTTTTGAACCAAGTCGGATTGTTCGCGTCAAGGGCTTTAATCGAGATGGCGGTAGGTCCCATAAACTCAACAGTGAGATGTGTGTGACCTTGTACGAGTCCTTCGTTATTTAATGCCTGGGGAGCAGAGAGGTATGTCACATTTGAATTTGTGTAGAACCCCATTTCGATGTTCCGAACTGCGATTTTGAAGACAATCGGCTGATTGACCTTGAAAGTATCGCCCGGCGAGGGAGATGTGATCAGTGTAGAAACCATGTGTTTTGTTGAAGGAATCTCGCCCATGGCTGTGGTCGTATTAGTGCTAGTTTCCATGACAGGTATTGTGTCGTGGGAATTAATAACTACTCACGGATCCCATTGCAAGATCCCTCCTTGTTCTTCTTGCCGTTTGTTAATGTCTTCCCGCTGCAGTAGTTGATGAAGTTGTTCGATGAGCTAATTCCCTGTTAGGAGAATCTAACTAAATATCAAGTATGCTCTCACCTACGTTCTAGAAGGGGTGACTTCATCCTTATTCAGAGCCTCTTTCTCTCCATCCAATGCAGACCCGCTCTGGAGAGCGTTTGGTTTCAAGCATAGTTCGGCAGCTCGGTACCTTGGAGCGTTCCTCTGGTCCCTTTGGCCTAGAACGCAATTGATAAGACATAGTGCAGGGGCCAACAGGTACATAAGGCTTCCTAAATGCATTTTGATACCTGACCGCGTAGCAGTGGCTGCAAGAAGAGATTTGGTAGATAGAAAAAAGGACTTCGAGAAGGAAAAAGGGAAAACGGCACAGTTTGAATTCGGGCGAGGAATTTTGAGACAATTTAAACAAGTCGCAACAGGTGAAAGGATTTACAGAAAGTATTGGACAAAGAGTATCAGAAGCCGTACAACAGCAGCGCATCCCAAATTGGATGTTATCAATATCGGACTGCCCCGAAATGCCTGTTAGAGTCACACGCCCAATTTAAAGTCCGTTTGTACTTGAAATTGATGAAAATCAATAATTGGCGTTGGTGAGTCCATCAAAGATATCAAGTGGAGATGTCAGATGTTTAAACAAAGGAGCCCAAACTATGAATTCTTTCTCCAGTGGTAGGAATCAAAGGAAATTATGTTATGTGCGTATTCTTTCACCACATATTTAGCTCATGTCCAACTAATCTGTAGCTGCAACCAAAACTGCGATTTTAGCTGCAGCAACATTGCATAAACGTGGGCACCACGGTCTCACATGTAGGTAATTTATAAATGTCTAAGAACAAAGTCGGATAATTAGCACTCAGGATTTAGACAGATCTTGAAACCGCGATATTAACCAACTCGGTTAACTTCCCCCCCCCCCCGGGGGGTAATGACAGGCTGTCAGCAGACGACCTTCGAGGCCCTCCTGTAAGTGTAGGACAGTGCTTCCTTGGACGTATATACTACACAGAGCACATCGATAGCAAATTACATTCTCAGCATGTAAAGCAAAAGAAGTTTATTTATATCAGACCCTGGCCAACTGCAACTACTAGTGGTTGCAAAAATATGTAAACATCTATTTTTGGATGTTTCAGTCCACCTAAGTCTCATCCTCGATCATAAATTGGTGTTTTCGCAGAGAAAGGCTTAATATATTATCGACAAGTAATAAAATGAGCGGTTTTATCACTGTGCCTGCAATGAACGGGAAGAATCATCGCTGCTCCCTCGGCTTACTCTGTAATTGGTTTTAAGTTAAAATAGGAAACCACTAGAAACCATCAAACCAAGGTTCTACTCGCTCGTGCATAAATCTTAATTGGAGGGCATGCATCACACACCCTTCATCAGGCGACATCTTAAGAAATACAACATCATTGATTTCTCTTATAACAAAGAGTAATGGATATATAAGGGAGACGGATATATATAAGATAGCAACGATAGAGATAGCTAATTCAGATTTAGTCATATGAGTTAAAATGTATATGAAAGCGTTGATGAATGTAGACTTTGGTTTCTTGATATGCTCTAGGAGGGGACTTAAATCCTCACTCGAAACCACACATTAAGCCGAAGAGAAACGCCAAATCCAGATGCAATGTACAACAAGAGCTTCCCTCACTCCAATTGTACTGTATGTTGTCACTCATACCCCAAGTAGCGCCTCCCAGTCAGGCGTCACCACAAACTTCCCACTAACCTGCGACATCGCCCATACTCGTTTTTCCTCCGACTCAACCTTTGATTGTGCCTCCCCGGCTTCTGTGGTCTGGGGCTTCTCCTCAGATGCCACAATAGCATCTTGCAAAAACTCCACATCGCTCCCTTTGGTTAATTCAAAGCTGATCCCGCCCCAGTCTATCGTTGCCCGCCCGGACTGGTGGATGTTCAACTTGCCTACTCGACCTGGGGGCAGGGTGGAGTGGGTGGCCGTGATTAAGGGGGAGGAAGCAGCGTTACCATCGCTACTCACGGTGGGCTTTGGGACGGTAAGCTCGTCGGTAGGTTCTCTCTTGATGGCGGGATTGGAAAGATGTTGTGTTGTTGCCTGTGCACCGGTTTCAACCACGTCTTGGTCCGTCTCATCTACAGCAAGCGGCGGCGGGACGAGGTTGGGCGTCATGGGCGGAAACTGAATGAGGAAGAGTCGCCCCGAACGTTCATCCCTTGGTGCTTCAACTGCCTGTGTCTCATCTTCCTGCTCTGCCCCTTGTGACCTTTCCGCCGGCTTATCGTCGGTGGTTATTGTCCCCAAGGCCTGTTTGATATGTTCTATATCCTCCTCGTGGCGGTCATTTTCCTGCCGTTCTTCCTCTGTCTGCAGTTTACTCCGCGGATCCTGGATAATAACTCTTTTGTTTTTTGTTTTTGGCTTCGGGACAGCTGGTGTTGCAGGCCCAGCGTCAGCCGTCGCAGGGCTGCTGTCCATGGCCTGGGATATAGATTCAGTCATAAGCACATCTCCGTCATCCGTAGGCTCCTCCTTGATTTTCACTCCTCCATACAATGTACCACCGACAAATTTCTCCGTAGTTACCTCGACCGCCTCGTCACCTTCACTCTCACTACCACCATCAATATCTTCCTCACTGTCCTGAACGAACAAACTCTCATCCTCCCCCTGCTTTTCCTTCGCTTTTGCCTTTGCTTGCCTTCTCAACTCTGCAGACCTCTCCGAGCTAGCATCCGTATTAATTCCGATCGATCTCTCCTGATGCTCCTGTCTCTCAACCCGAACCGGCCTCAGTCCCCTCCCAGCACGATCGGCCCCAGACGCCCTGGACGGCATCTTCCCTTTCCCCTTCCCTTCCTCAAACTCCTCCTCCTCCTCGTCATCCTCATAATCACTAATAATATTAATCTGCTCGATACTAAACCGCGGGCCCCCATCACTCCCCTCATCCGACGAAACATCCCCACTCCCACCACGGCTGCTTACCCCGCCAGCCCCATCTTCACTTTTCGCCCGGACAAGCCCATGCACCCTCCCCCCACCCGATCTACCCCCATGTCCATATCCATACTTCCCCTTCCCCTTCCCCGCCGCCCCAAACCCACCACCCCCACGACTCCGCATCGACATTCCAGACCCCAATGGCCCCGAAACTTCACCTCCCCCAAACATCCCCTTCCCCCTCCCTCTTCCCCTGCCTCTAGTTCCTCGATCCCCACCCCTCCCCGCAACCTCCCCCCTCCTCAACGCAGCCGCCTCCTTTAGCCTCTCCTGCTGTCTCTCCGCCTCCAGACGCTCCAACGCCTCGCGTTCCGCTTTACTCTTCCGCACTACCGCGCGCGGCTGGTAGCGCAGGGTCGGTTTGGGCGTCGTGCCATCTAGGTTTAGCGGGATTAAGGAGCCACTCGGGGTGCGTTTTTTGAGGGATTGGAGTCTCTGGACGCCGGGGCGGGGTGGGGAGCCGCTGGTGGTTATGGCGGAGGTAGAAGTGGATGGGGCGGTTCGGGAGCGAGGTGCGGTGAGGTTAGGGTCTATGGGGGGGTTGGTTGGGTCTGTGTTTGTAGCTGCGGGTGTAGGTGTATGTGAAGCGCTGTCGACGGGAATGGCGGCGCGGCGCGAGGCGGAGGAGGCGGCGGCGGCAGGGCGCCGAGGGTTGTTTGTGGATTTTGGTGGCATGGTTGGTTGGGTGAGTTTGTGTCACCTTTCCAATTTGATTTGGTAGGTTACTTTCTTGGAGTAACTGAAAATTTCGCCGTATTGCCTGGCCGTGCCCTTATCGAAGGGGGGAGAGAGCACGCTGGCTTTGGCATAAAATTTGCAAAGTTTTCAACGCAACCACTAGGAAAACATATCCATTGCGTTCTTAAGCTAATACAACTCTGAAAAAGCATTAGGGCGATCTCTCAATACAACGAAATGAGTGGATGATTCCTACCGCGCTTTGTCATTTTCTCTTCGTTCATCTTCTCAGAGCTCAAAAAATATCTCGGAAATTTATTATTCCGGAAGGGCAATGCAAGTGTTTTACGCTAGATTATTATTGGATTAGTGTGTTTTCCCATGCGACATCCGCGCTTTACCGGAAATGGACGGATGCGACAACCGGGCTTGCAAGCGCCTAGACGCCCTGCCTTGGCAAAGAAGGAATCGGAATGGAACCTCCCATCGCAGGCCCAAGCGACAGATTTTATGCTTAAATCAATACTAATTCATATTTGGTTGGATAGCTAGAAAGTGTGATTTTTTTTTTTTTTTTTTGGAGGTAAGTACATATATAGTAGGGGGGCGATATTATAATAAAAGGCTAGAGTTGATAAAGAAAAAGTGCAGGAAAATAAATAAATAAATAACATGTACTTGGTGCAATTGATTTTAATATCAAACAATAGTGGTAATATAGGAATGATAACAAGCAGGGTGGGCAAGCGATAGTGATGGGGTGAGGGGAGAGAAAAGTATGTATATAATGAGCCCAGGGAGTACCGCAGAAGAATAGCTGCGCAAGAAACAGAAGAAATGGAACAGAATGATACGATTCTCCGATAGATGTTTGAAGGGAAACAATTTGGGTTCCTTCTTCTCTCTCTTTTTTCTCGTTTTATGAAAATATCTGTTCCCCCTTTCAAAAAATCATTTGTCCGTTGCAATCTGGCGCATCTCCACCGTTTCCCGCAGTGTTGTGCTCTTCTTTAGACACTCAGTCAATATATCCCACAGGTCAAGGGCAGTGTCGGCCCATGGAGCGGCGAACATGCTGCCGTTAACCTGCCCTGCAATGAATGTTCCACCACACGGCTTTCGTACATTAATGCAATGAAAGAGTGTGTAAATAAAGAGAGGGGAAAAAATCAAATACTAAAGCAATCGGCAATCGGAAACAAAGCAAAACATAAACTCGAACATATTAAAACTGGAGCAAATACAACAATATAGCCGTTGGAAAGACAATATAAGTACGACAAACACATCGCAACAACAAAGTGTCAAATCCCTCCCCGTATTCAGCCAAAGGAAACTAGTCGCTCGCTAAGATAAGAAAAGTAAACTAGATATAATTTCGCTGGGAAGACGAAAAGGTAATGAAGGAAAGTAAGTTGGGTAGGTAAAGGATAGTTATAGCGTTGGGGCTTTTAATCTAGGTGGATCGGGCTATCCCGGATAGGAAGCTTGGGTGAGGCTTTTCAAAGGCGCAGAAGCAAAGCATGTAGAAACGAGTGGCAAAGGCGATGATAGCATTGATGGTAACGAAGCGACGAAAAGACGGAGGGAATTTGTGAGAAAATTCAAAGGCCGTTAACCTTCAGCTTCTCTACGGAGAGTTTGTCGTGACACGTGGGAGTAGGAAGAGCGAATACAATGGCGTCAGGAGACAAAAATAAAACCAACGCATGAAACAAACACACTGTCTTCCAAAAGGAATTTGTAAGCCAGTAAGGCGACGTTGAGTTATGTCTCACAGCGAACCTGGATGGGAAAGCAAAGACAGAATTCACTCGACTAAACAATCGCATCGGAGAGAGAGCACTAGGAGGGAACTGTGGCTCTCAGCATCAGTGAGAGTGCCACTCCACTGAACACCACGCAATATCTCATATATAGTAACCGTTCGTTAGAAGGATGTGATTTGCGTGACCACTATCGCTTTCTCTTCTTGTTTTTATCAGCGACGCTAGAGGGGGCCGAGGCAAGTGCCAGGGACGGTGCGGCCATATGATGATAGCGCTCGTCAGCTCCATGATGATAGGGCACATTGTTTCCGAGGGCGGAAACGACGCCAGCACTGGTGGGGGGAGCATCATTCTTTTTTACTGGGACTCCCATGTGGCGACCATATCTGCCCTTGCGGCCATTGCCCTCATCCTCGCTAATACAACCTTCAATCCCAATGCCTGCATCTTTGCACCGCTGGCATGGCCGTTGGCGATCGCAACCCTTCTTGCTTTTGCGGCAGCGCTGGCAGCGAGGCTTGGTGGACAGGTCTTCCTCATCCGCACCAAGTTGATGCTGGAAGTTCACTGCGGAGGATGATACTTTGCGTGACGTAGCAGGGGTAGCCATAGGAGGGAGGGCTGATGGAACTGCAAACCCCGGGTTGTTGTTGTTGTTCGCAGGGGCCTTGCTTTTACGGGAAGTTGCAGCAGGGCGGTTTTTGTTGGCCTTACCGGTTTTGGCCGATGCACCTGTCCTAGCGACTGAGGCTTTGGGAGCCGCCGCGTTCGAAGTTTTGACCTTCGGACGCTTCGCTTTGGGTGCATCCTCGTAGGCAGTATCGTCATCGTGTTCATTATTGACAGGTGCTTGAGCCTTCTCATGTTGATATCTCGCATCAAAGTCATCACTACTTGGGTCGCTGGTGTCGCAGCTAGGAAGGATTTCATCCAGGTTCTTGTGATGCTTTTTGAGAACACCTGGTGGGAGCAGTGGGCTGGATTCCAACTTTCGTCGTGAGCGCGGTGGAAGATCATCGTCATCCTCGCTGGCCTCTGAGCCATCCGTAGTGGCGCCAGTCGACGAGGAAGCATCAGCAGCGCCACTAAATGCGTCATCAAGGGTCGAGGCAGAGGTGCGCCCGTGAGAGAAATTCGAAACGTCACCAAGTCGAATTAGCTGCATTGCAACATCTTCGTCGGAGATGCAGCTCGCAATTGTCGGGTCTGGGGTCGGCAGTATGCCATTGCTGTTGGAACGACGGGCAGAGTTTCCGAAACCGCCAATAGATTGTGCGTTTGTCCGATCGCGTAGTCGATGGCCATGGTGAGCCGATGTACCATACATGTTATTCAAAGGTGTATTTAATCCGTACATTGCATCATGACGCCCATACCCTTGGGGGGATGGAACAGGTTGTTGTCCTACGGAAGGACGCTGGGCAGGTCTTGCAAAGGGGGAGGGCCCTTCTTGCACGGTGGAACGTCGTTGAGGAGATATCGACGATGTTGATGTAGTGAGGGGAACTTGAGGCGGTACGAACAGAGGCAGTTCCTAAACAAAAGTGAAGATATGGTTAATTGACTGTCTCGTCAAGAAACGTCCTCCCATATTGAGGGGATGGCCTTAATGAATCTTACTTACCGAGCTCTCAAACTTGGGTCGTTTCCTTCTACCATCCTGCAGTATATTATCCATACTGATTTCAGAGCTAGCAAACTGCTCACTTCTAGCCTTCTTCGATCCTGTCATTGATCCATGGTCGTCATCATTGTCGCTGTAAGGCCCCACAGTGTCGTCCTGAAAGCTGCCGTGGGTGCTGGACCCACGGCTCTTAATTCCAGAACGAGATGGAACCTTTTGGGCAGAGACACTGCGATGGCTTCGACCAGCGGGAGAATTGCTTCTCTTCCTTGCAACTCTCGACTGTGGTCGGGAAGGCGGCTGCCCATAGTCAAGGGCCTGCGCAGGGTGTTGTGGCTGATGCTGGAATGGCTCCCCGAGGCTGGGGCGTTGATAGCCATCAACGGGACTATAGTAGCCCGCTTGTGCATAATTATCGGGGTAGCTATGGCAAGGGATGACTCTCACATAGACGGTCATATTATTTCTCAAATTCTCGTATCTTGCGATGAGTGTGTTGCCATTCTCATCCTCGAAGCTCACACCGCTTGCTGCACCTTCATAGATGCCATAGAAATTTTTGACAGTGGTAACGATCGAATCAGTAGTATCATGGGGGAATATTTGCACTCGCATGGGGATACGCGCCCTAACCTTCGAGTTTTCGTCTAGGAGAAGCTCGAAGGCAACGTGCTTGGGAGATGGACTACAAGGGGATGGCTGCTGCGAAACAGGGCCACTACCATAGCCATCAATGGCAGCAGGAGCGTCAGAAGGAGTGGAATAACCATCCTTATGTGTCACTTGGTTCTGGGGAGGTGCAGATGTCATCGTTGTAACGTAGTGTTGGGCTTTCTCTAAGGGTCGAGATTGTGGGGTGGACAAGGGCCCGTTGGCAGAACTTGCATGCGACGGCTGGTCCGTGAGGAGACTCCTGAGTTCCATCTATCTCATCACAACCATCCAAATCGAATTGATCGAAGTTATGCGAGGTTTTGACACCCAAATGGGCGAAGTTTTATTGTTGCAAGGAAGAGCAGGGTGTATTCCTGCGCAACCCAAGGTACAGCAGGGCTGGAGAGGGACAAAAAAAGTCAAAGGGAAAAGAAAACAGGCGAGGATAATGAGAGATTTCCTGCGAGAACGATGAAACGGGAACAGTTAGAATCGTAAATATAGAGTCGCAGAATGGAGAAGAAGGAATAAGCGCTGTGGTGTTTGGGGATTAGGGATGGGGAGATGGGTAGGGATGAGCAGCCAGCCAGGGCGAGGTGTGTTGGCAGCGTTGAGGATTGAGGGTTTGGGCAGAAAGGCGGAAGGGCAGGGTGCAGTAGACATGGAGAGGGGAAGATACCTATACTGAAGCAAAATAGCTTGGACAGGGTCGCAGAAGTATACTAAGTATGATTCCAAAATAATGCTGGCGATGATGGAGATTCGCAGTGGATGAAGGGCCTCGTCGGCGGATGCAGTCAATCTGGTGGCAGCTCAGCGACAGAACCAGTCAAATAGAGAAGCATGCAGGGTATAAGGGAAGAGGATAATACTTACATAGCATGTGAGATGGGATAGCAGCCCGTCAAATGAAGCAGATGCAAGCCATCTGAGGGAGTTGTCGAGTGTTTAGGGTTGACAACGGAGGATGGAAAAGAAGAGGAGGCAGAAGAGGCAGAGGTTGAGAGGTTGAGGTGAGGTGGGAGCGAACTTGCGAACCGGAGACGTTTCACACAACACACGGCCCAGTCAAAGTCAGGTCTACCAAAGTCAACCAAGCCGATCTCCATAAAATATACCGTGTGCTGCAGAGGTATGACCTGCAAGCAAGCACATTTAATGATTATATATAATCTATTCTTCAACTCTCTATAGTAATATGTGTTTGGCGCTCTCCTGTTCCCATGTGCTATCGCTCGCTACCGCTCGCTACCTTGTGGTCATGATCATCGTTTCATCCCCCAGCTGTCTTCCCATATCGCAACGTCGCATTAAATCCAGCAGTATCCCTACCCGCTATTTCGTCCTGACGGATGTTAATTTACAAGAATGCGACGGCTGTGTAGGTTTCGTCAACTAATGCACCCGCCCAGATGAATGCGACAGCTCGTGTCTCTGTGCGCTCTGCGGTTCTATGTACAGACTCCTCCCGCTTGATATACAACAATTTGTAGTTCGAAGAATGAAAATAGGTAAATTATTAGATATATCATAATAATGCGATACTGCCTATGGGTCTCATTTATGCATTTATTCGTTTTCAAACTGCCAATTCCCACGCGATATAGGGGATAGCCTTGGGAAGTTTTTTTTGCCCAAAGAGGGCCCTTAGAAAATCCAATTGTCAACTAACCAAGGCCACGGCTGCAAGAAAAGTAAAACTAAAAATCCCCCTCCTTCAGAATCATGCTTTTACTATTGATTGTTATTATTTAGTTTGTCCAAGATTCCTGCGCATAAAAAGGTCGCCATGCATGCGGAGACGAGACAGCGCTGGCTGCGGTAAGGTTCTGGCTCTGGTTGGTAGTGGGAAAGAGGAGAAAAATCGACTGGATCTCCGGTCTTTTTCGTAAGGCCGGATTTTGCCCATCCACCTTCCTGGTGCGGTGCCGTGCGGCCACGTCGAAGCAGTCAAATGGACGTTATAAATGTAAAGTTATGGGGTGGGCTTAGTTTGAGGAGTAGTCGCACGCCATGTTCATGAGCATCCATATGTGATTTCAGATGGTCTGGGGGAAAGGGGCGAAGAAACAGGCTACAAGTTACAGATCCATCCATTGAGACTTTTTCTTTTTCCCTTTTCTCATTGCATTCTTCATGACTCTATGGATGGATGGATGGATGGATGGATGGATGGATGGATGGATGGATGGAGGGATGGAGGGAGGGAGGGGAGGGAATCCACCGCCACTCTCGGCCTTGATGATTATTGACGGGCGACACACACGTCCCACGGAACGGAGATATTAGAGGACAAAAATATTTATCCTTCAGTTAGCTGGGCTCTCGGGCCACCTAAACAAGCAAAACCCTTCATTCTTTTCGTCTGGCAGTGTATCAGCCATGGCCCGCTGACTATTATTTTACCAGCCCAGGCCCGCGCGAAACCAAAGCAGCAAGACACACACACGAACGAGCCTAACCAATCATACAAGGTAGGCAGGCACCTGGGGTTGTCGCACTGCGAGATCCTCAACAAATTTGTTATGTGTTGCATCAGAAGTTTAAGGGGAATATGGCATGTTGTTATTAAGAGTTAATTCATGATGATAATGGGGACAGTCCCTGTGCTCGTCCATCCCGTCAAGCTGGGTGTTGTGGATGCAGCGCAAGAACTAGTAGCGTATCTAGAAAAGCATAAAGAGGCGGCATGGCGCATTCGCAACTCGGCCTTTAGGTAGTTCAGGCCAATTGTTGTTTCATGTCGTTGATTCGACAGCAAGACGGGATTCTTGATAATTGTCGCATCCATCTCGTGGGAGATTTTTCTGGGGTTGCTTCTAGTTGGTAGCTGAAAGGAAATGTAAAATGCTGGTTTTATATCTACAGAACCATAGCCACAGTGAACAAGACATAGACAGGAAAATGACAATGAATAGGTGGACGGATAGATAGACAGACGCATTCTGGCGCAAAAAAGGATAAGGAGTCAAGCGATTCTTACGTTAATTTGCTGCGCACGCGGATCTTGTAAAAAAGTATCAGGAATCCATCGCACACAGCCGGCGTTGATCAGCTGGGTTAAAACTACATAAACCATCCATGTTGGGTGTACCCCGTTTCCCCAAATCAGATGCCATCGCCACCTTCCTATTATTAATATTCCCCAGCCAGCTCACAATCAGCAGCCATAATCTTTCAGCAAACCAGACGCTGGCAAGGCTCAATGGATTCATGCGCAGCCCTGCCTCTTTCCCTGCTCTTCGCTCGGTGTATGCCTGCTGGTTTATATTTATATATTCTATGATTTATCCCGTTGTGCTATTGCCGGTTCTGTCGCTTTTTTTTTATGTTGCAATTGCATGTGGAGGCATGGAATGCGCTTCAAAACTGTCAACCTTCATCGCGGAAGTTCCCGAGGGGGGGGGAAGGGTAAGGGCGGGCATGCGCTGCGTTTTACCTTCAAGTGACAAGCAATAAATTTATTCTCTCGTCTTGAACCATGCTCGCTGCTCACTTTTTTTCCCTTTTCCTTCCCCCTTTCCTCTGTCCTACGGTGAGTGCGCATCAATCCAATAGAGTTCGGGGATTGGTCGGGTTCATCACAATTACATTTTGTGAGGTTTATGATGCGACTTTGTCGCCGTCACTGGAAAATGAACAGTTGGGGCATGGTTTGTCCAGGAGACGACTTGTTCTTGGTGGTGATTTGCCCAGGTTTGACTTGGCGGTGGTGATGTGTATCATTTGTGGCCCGTGTGGGCGGGCGGCTATACTGGCGAATGAAGACATAAAAGTCTGGCCGAAACACCCGTTTTCCGTACCTAATAATAATTCATCATCGAAACAGTTTGTTTCCATCATTCTTTTGATGGCGGTGCAGTATGTTCCCGAAAATTGTGGTTGCGGCCCCACCCAATTGTGCCACCAATATATAACCTTTCTGGTTCGGCAAAAATAATTCTGGCTACGTGGGAGATGGGGAAAAAAACTTGGCTATTTTGTCGCGTTTACGGGAAAAACTGGAAGGTTTATTTGATGGGGTTTACGCTGGATCCCGAGGGTGTTTTGAATGAGCTGGCAGGGCAATTCTGACCCAGCGCTCAAACAGGATTGGATGGTTTTTCGGCAACGGATGGTTTGCGACACTCCGCTCACGTGGTTTGGCGTTTGGGCGTGTTCTGCTACACGCGAAGAATGCAAACTATACAAATACTATAATTACACCACAGCGAGTGATTGCACAAATAAGAGATTTCTCAACTGAGGTCGCGTGTATATGCTCAATAGAAAATATTGGTTTATAAATAAAAGTGTTAGGGGATTGGACTTTTACAGTAAGGGCGGCAATTCTGGACAAGCGCCGGAAGACGTGTTTTGCAACCCTCGGTTATGACGTAATCAGCGTCGCTTGGGTTGTCAGCCAACTTACCCGCCGCTAGCCCACAACAGGACTAGCTTTGTTTATCGCTCCTGGCCATCAACAAACTAAACATCGCAGCATCGACAACAACAACCGCTCCACACAGAATTCCCCTCTCCCCTCCACCACCCGGCCGCCTGTTTACCATCAACCACTTTTGCTCGCACTTCTAATGGCGGAGCTTTATTGACTCTCCTTTTTCTGGACGTGCCGGTCCAAAATACCGCCCAATTGGCCCTGCCCTTCGAGAGGACCCTAGAAACAACGCTTAGATCTCTCGCTATCGAGGTGCACGTAAACATTGCTACACGCCTCTGTGGTTCATTCGACATAGACTTATAAGAAACACAGCTTCTTGCTGCTAGTATCAACGCCAAAATGGATGCAAAGGTTAGCATCAGATCCTTCTCCCGTCCATCTTTTACTCCTATTTACCCCTTTTTGCCTTTGGCTGGTGGATATCTGGTCAAATCGCGTTGATATCTCGATTCCATCCATGTTGTTTGGGTCGAATATTCACCTAAAATGAATGCCTTTGCTGACAGCCATGTTTCTTTTATCCAGCCTCAACGACCTTTTCGCCCTCTACGCGTCCTAGGAGACGAGAACTTGCTGGCCCCTATCAATCCGGCCGGAAAGACACTCCACCATCGTAATAAATCGACACCGGCGTTGTCAACACTGGGCGAACCTGGTGGAGTGAAGAATGCTGTTAAACGTACGGCTTTCGGGGATCTCAGCAACACGGCCAATACTACGCGACCAACTAGGGATGATCCAGCTGTCCCTTCAAAGGGCTTATCAACAGTCACTGAAAAGCCAACCGCCTTATCTCGACCCGCTCAGAGGCCCCTGTCGGTTGCAGGTGCTAAACTTGCCCAAGTCAGCGCTTCCAATTTCAACGTCAACGTGATCGGTCCCAACACGAACCATTCTGCACTTGATAAGCTTCCTGGTAACCCTCGAAAAGCCATCACTAAACGCAATACCGTGTTCAAAGACACTGCACTACCTTCCGCGGTAGAATCCGAGCCTATTACTTCGCAGAGCCACAAAACTTCTGCTCCTGCGGTGAATAACAAGGGACCTGTCGATCACGTGGCAGAGCGGTCAGCAACTATCGCGAGTAACAACACGGCTGTGAATGATAAGCCAGTTAATGCAGCTCAAGCGAACAATCCAATGAAAAAGGACCTGCAACATTCGTCCGTGTCAATCAGCTCAGAAGAACCTGCTGCCTTGCGGTCAGATGGCGTATATATTAAAGAGAACGGAGAGGTTAAGTCGTATTCGCACCATGAAAAGGGTCACATAATGCACGAGAAGCCCATGCCTAGCTCCAATGCACAACCAGTCCTCACAAGTGATGTCGAAGTAGTATCTACGAAGCACGTTACTGAACACCGTGCAATTGTCTCCGAGAATTCTGACCCTTCTCGCCTCAAGCATGACCACGTACATTTGGCTTCGGAACCAGAAGAATATTGGGACGACGAGGACGATGATAACTATGAGGAGGATGGATACGTTACCGCTCGCTCACATCGATCCCGTGATAATACCACCGGAGGTGCAACGGTTCTTTTGATGCCAAAGGTCACACAGAAGGTACAGCGAGAGTTGAGCATTGCGAAGGAAATTGTTGAAGCAACTCGCACGCCGGAGGATATTGAAGATGAAGCTTGGGATACTAGCATGGTTGCTGAGTATGGAGATGAGATATTTCAGTATATGAGGGAGCTTGAGGTACTTACCTTTTGACGCACGAGACCTGCTCATTTGTAACTAACATAATTTCACAGATGAGGCTCTTGCCAAATGCCCATTACATGGATAATCAAGCAGAAATCCAATGGTCGATGCGCTCTGTTCTTATGGACTGGCTCGTTCAAGTCCATCATCGATTCTCCTTGCTGCCGGAAACCCTTTTCCTCTGTGTCAATTACATTGACCGATTTCTGTCATGCAAGATTGTTTCCCTTGGCAAGTTGCAGCTTGTTGGAGCTACTGCAATTTTTATTGCAGCTAAGTACGAGGAAATCAACTGCCCATCTCTTCAGGAGATTATCTATATGGTAGATAACGGATATACTGCCGATGAAATTTTGAAGGCGGAGCGCTTTATGCTCAGCATGCTGCAATTCGAGCTAGGCTGGCCAGGTCCCATGAGTTTCCTCCGGCGGATTAGTAAGGCTGATGACTACGACTTGGAGACACGAACTCTTGCCAAGTACTTCCTGGAGATTACCATCATGGACGAACGCTTTGTTGGTACCCCTCCGAGCTTCACTGCTGCGGGTGCTCATTGCCTCGCGAGATTGATGTTGAGGAAGGGAACCTGGGTAAGTCTCCTTTAAAACCGGCTTCAACTCGTCCTATTTCTAACTAGCCTTGCAGACCCCTGCTCACGTATATTATTCAAATTATACATACTCCCAGTTGTATCCACTTGTTTCGCTCATCCTTGAATGCTGCGAGGACCCGATGAAGCATCACTCCGCTGTCTACGAAAAGTACTCTGACAGACGATTCAAGCGGGCCTCTACCTTCGTGAAAGGAGAGATGATGAAGAAATTCAAGCTCCCAGAAGCGGCCCGTGAGGGCTCCGCTGCTCATTTAATTAACCTCTTCGAGGACGCGTCTACCTGGCGCCGTCAATAGGCTACTAGGGTTTACGATATCACCGCCAAACCTCAACTTCCACTCCTTCTATTTCCGCCAATACATATCACTTCTTTACTCGCTGTTCGGGTTTTCCATAAATATTTCGTACTCGCAACGGAACATATTTCTCCTGGTTTTTGCCTCGACAAAACATCCCGTTTATAAACATAACGATTTGATACCCACTCTCCTTTACTCGACAATGTTTCTTAACTCTCCGTTTCGCCGACGCTACGTCGTGGCTCTTGATATGTTGCCACTTTCCCACATTTTACAGATTGAAAACCACATATCTCTCTATTATCTCACCCTCCTTTATACCCTAGCTACCCCAGCAACATACGACCTTTTTTTTTCCCTTTTGCTTTCATTACATCCAAGCCGGCGAGCATAATGGCGTATACAGGTTTCCTATCGGGGTTGATTGCGGTTTCACTTTTCTTGTCAACCAATCAAAGGCGTTTAGTTTTCAATTCTCGTAATGGCGTTGTGTAGATTTTCATTTCTGCGAGGACTCTAAAGCTAGCGATGCGGCCACTTTTCCTTTGTTCTTGTTCCGCCCACAACAGCCTTCCGACGAATGGTTTAGACTCACTCCTTTTCCATCTAATACCTGCCGTTCGGTTGATCAATTCCTGATTTACCTCGCGACTCTATTCCAACCCTCCCGCACATTCATTCACGTCTGTGCGGCACTTTTTCGTTTTTTGGGACATCGGTACAACCAAACGGTTCTATACGTACAGAACATTCGTTCGGATTTTTTCTCCTTGCTCAGAAGCGCTACACCTTTCTTGCTACATTTTGCTTCCCCTACTCTTTTACTTTTCTCGATATCTTTTTTCCCCGTCGAAGGGCACATGCTGACGTGAATCTCTGAGCGAATTCGCTTTTCCCTTATCATTTATAGGTATGCGGCCCTTCTTCTCTTTTCTCCAGACATTGAGTATATATTTTTTCCTTTATTTTTTCCCTATCTCTCTTTTTTTCTTTTTTTCTTTCTTTCTTTTTCTTTTTCTTTTTCTTTTCTTTTCTTTTCTTTTCTTTTCTTTTTCTTTTTTAAATCTCTAATGGGACGGAATGGGTTGGGAAATGGGATATGGGTGGTTATTGCAGCCTATTGTTTTGGTTTTGGGACTGTTTGGTTTTTTGCTCGGGTGGGGTGGCTGGGCGCGCGGAGAATGGAGTTGTCGGATTCTATTATTTTTCCATGATTCCGGTCCCCTTTCTCTTTTTTCTTTGGCTTGCTGCGTGTTTTACTCTCTTATGGTCTAGCTTTTATTGTGTTTCATTCTATTTTATGAATGATTATTTTCTCGTTTTGATCAATGATAAGTTTAATTCTATTCCCGTTTTCAGTCCTAAGCCTTCAAGCGGACTTATCCCTCTTGCTCTTGTTGAAGAATCTGAAGAATGGCGATGGATGGGAAGACTTGGGCGGAACTTTTATGCTACATTAGGTAGTCTGCAATTATCAGCTTGGTCTATGTATATTCTCCTATTCCAAATCTCGCTTCCACGGAAGCATCGTAGTTAGAACCGTGACCTGTGTTTATTTGTCTACGCCATTGATCTAAAATGCTTTTTATATTTGCGTAGTTACCCATCCGGCGAAGTGGGAATCTGGGAAGATGTGTCCAAAGAACGTGTCCAAAAAGGGATGTCATCAGAGCATTGACGGATATACCCCCAAAAACAGAACAAAGCAAACGCCACTCATCATGATCACGTATGACTCCGTCTATTTATCAATTTTTACCTACTACTGATCCAGTCCATTAAAAACAACCAAATGCCTCACAACATCTATCACCTTCTCTTCACCCACGTCCTCAAGGCCTGGGTTATCCATCTTCTGCGCTAGAGCTTCGTCCAGTAACATACGTAGACGCGAGGCCAGTACACCGACCCGCGCCCAGCCGCGCAAACGCTGCCAGCCATCTACCAGCACGCCCCTGCCTAGAGTATCCAAGGTTATGGGCCCCGAGAATAGGAGGAGGCTATATGCGTTGAACGCTGTGGTTTTAATACGATTGTTAGATTTGTGGCACACAGTACGGGATGTGGGGATTTTCAAAGGGTGACGGGAGGCCATTGACTCACGGGTCAAATCGCGGATGAACACTTTGCTAGTTGCCATTTTCGTGAAGTAGCTCACATATGTGGCAGAACCGGAGAAACTCTGCGCGTCGAAGAGACTGGAGCTGGGGTGCACGAACACCCTGCCGTTTTCCTGGTTGAAGTATTTGATCGTGCGCGCATCAGGGTCTAGCTCTATGGTCCCGGACACCGATGGAGCGAACTTCTTGTCTGGGAAGCTGATGTTGGCGATTTGGGGGTTGAAGGCGCCGGCGATCAGGGCGCGGAGGAGTTGCGTGTTGGAGTTGTGGGTATTCCAGCGGTTTGGAGGCGTGCTAGCACTTTCATCTGCGTATCTGTAGTTCACCGGGATTATGCCGATATCTTTGAGCGAGGATAGCAGTTGAGATTTGTTGGAGGATATTTCGCGAAGAGTTTTGGGCACGAGGAAGTTGTCGTTGCACCATGATTGTGTTTTCCAGAGGCCCTGCTGTTTGACTCTTTCAGACCATTGCTGGTACGCCGCCAAGTCGATCAGCAAGTCTCCGTCCCCCGTTGAAAACGATGCCCGAGCTTGCTTGGCCTCTTCCCTTTTGTCTCGAGGCGATACAAACGGGCTTTTGACAGTAAGTATTGCTGCGATTGTTAGGCATGATTCAAGACACCCGAATATTGCGCCGTATATCATTAGTTTCGCTAGACGTAGATCCGTTGGAATCATGGAAATATACCGACCCAAAGCCGTTAACTGCTGATTATCAAGTGCACCAATGCGGTGGAGAAGTTCTAGTGCACCTTCTATCGCGACGTTCTCGGGTGGGGTAAGTGTGTTTGCAAGGAAGCCTGCTACATCTTCTATTCCCCTCATTGCTTTGACTGAAAGACACAGTTGCTCCAGGGGTACGCGTCGGATCTCAGGTTCTGGCCTGGGGGCCATATTGGCTTCTGCCTTCCGTGTATACATCTTGTAGCAAGTTCCACTGCTCACTCGACCTGCTCTACCTCGACGCTGTTTACAAGCAGCCTGCGATGCCCACACCTCTTCCAGGCGGACCATGTTGTCAGCAGGGTCGTAACGCGTTTCCTTGACACGCCCCGTGTCTATGACAGCAACCACATCTTCGATTGTGATGGACGTTTCCGCGACATTAGTGGCAGCAATTACTTTTCTTTTCCCAGGTGGAGCTGGCAGGAAGACCCGACGCTGTTCAGTTGGTAAAAGAGATGCATGTAATGGCAACGGGTGAGCAAATGGAAGATGATTTAGAGCAGCTAAGCATCGATCTATTTCCATGGTACCTGGTAGGAAGATAAGGATGCCGCCTGGCTGGTCCTTTAGTTGCGAATCAATATAGCGGACCGTAAACGCAATCAAATCGTAATTAATACCCATTCCGATTTTTTGGAGTATGGCACCGACGGAAGTATCCGTGGAATCGTCGTCATTCGAACCAGAATATTCATCCCAAGCCAAATATTGATTTCCAGGGCTGAAGCCAGTCCGCCTAACGACGTCATCGAGATAGAGATCTTCAACGGGGAATGTTCTCCCGGATATATTGACTCGCCCAACTTTACCGCCTCCTCCAAAGTATTGCGTAAATATATCTGCATCCAATGTAGCACTCATTAGAATGAGCTTAAGATCCTTACGACGTCGGAGGACGTCCCTCAACAATGCTAAAAGAAAATCCGTATCAAGACTCCGTTCATGAACTTCATCAACAACCACATGGCTAATATCTGCAAGGGAACTGACAACATCTTGGCCACCCGTTTGCATGCGGCGTAACAGTACACCAGTAGTCATGAACGTAATCTTCGTTGTGCCATATTTCACTTTCGAGTCGCCCCTGACAACGTAGCCTACCTCATCACCAACAGTGGAACAGCGCTCATCGCTAACACGATCAGCAAGTCCCAGGGCAGAAATTCGTCTGGGCTGCGTACAGACGATGTTCACGGCCGAACCGAAATCTCGTTTTATCATATCGTCAAGAATGAATTGAACTGACTGGGTGCTTTTGCCGCTCCCCGTCTCACCCGATACGATAGTAACCTGGTGAGAATGGACAGCATGGATAATTGCTTCCTGCATAGCCCATGCTGGAAGCGATCGCCTCGCCCTGAGCATTTTCTGTTGAGCAGGGGTAGTTTGTCGTGACTCCCATTTTTTCCGAATTTCCAGGCTTTGGGGGGTTCCAGGGCTTAGATTCAGCGGCTTTGGTGCTCTTCTAGTCGATTTAATGCAGCTGTTGGTGGTCGACTCGTTCCTGGAGTGAGATAATGTCTCGACGGAGACGGTCCGCAGCTTTCCTGGGTTTTCCAATATGCGAGGTAGATTTTCTTCGAGCCAATCTACCAAATTAAATATCATGGGCTCGCCAAGCAGGTCCTTATTAGCATGTTGTATGGCTTGTCGGATAGCGCTAAGGCGTATGTATGCTGGAATTTCCTTTGCTGCAATAGAAAGAACTGGTGTGCGGTTCGGGTATGGAGCAGTTGACGGCTTTTGGAAATAGAAAATCGTTCTGCATGGCAAATTCGGGTTCTCAGAAATAACTTCACATGTAATTGGTGACAATTTTGTATATCTCTCGCCATATATTGCTTCTAATGTCGAGTGTTCTTCCTCCCAAGCCTCCATATCCGTGGCACGAGAGCTAGGTTCGGGCACAATGCCGTCTTGTATGAGCATATTTTGGAGTTGTTCGGCCGCTAGGTATTCATTACCACGGTTCTTGTCAAGTACTTCAGCGCAGAAATCTGCTGAATAACCTGACATGGAAAGCCGGTTGACCTTGGATTCCCTGGATAGATCTCCACTAGCTAGACTTATTCCAGCAGTATACCCTTCAGGAAGACTCCAGGCAGGGAGATCATCCTCTGGAATATGTATCAACAACCACTCCAAAACCTCTTCACGGTCTTTGCATTCAGAGACTGCTTCTTCAACGTGACTCTTCCTGAAGCCTAGCCCAGTCAACTCTTCTACAATTCGCTTCTTTTGGGGATCCGATATTCGCACGCCGTATGGATTCCAAATAACTTTCTGTCTAATCAACTCTTCAATTGTACGACGTATCTTGCTTCCCATTTCAACCTTAGAAGCTTGCAGCCAGCGTTTCCCATCGTGACCCCCGGCGCTCCCCGCGCGTGTATTCAGCCCTGGCTGTTGTAGTTTTCGGTCCTGAGCTTTGGCTTGCTCCTTTTCCCGTTCTGCCCTCTTCTTAGCAAGCTCTGCCGCCGCATGTTCCCGTTCCTGCATAGCATTGAAAGGGTCTGCTTCATACAACCAGCCTTTCCCTTCTTTCACGTCCGCATTCTTTAGTTGTGTAAACTCGTCCTTCCACAGATTGCGGTAGGTAGGCGGCATCATCATGTGTAAATTACGCATGTTGCATACACGAAAAAGAGCGTATGCCGCGGCAAAGTGACGAGCTTCCATCGCCGTGGGACAGGCAGCCAAATGCTGGTGAGGTGGAGGGGGGCGTATTGGAGGAAGAGTGATAGTCTCCTTTGACTTCGGATTAGTTTTCTTGAGAATAACGCTTGAGACGAAGCCATCTTTCGTTTTTGTCTGGAATATATCAGTCATTATCAGAGATCCGAATTGCCATGTGGCTCCCCTAACGCGACATGCAAATGGGGCTTCTTACCATTGTGTATTCCGGTTTGTCCCATTTTTGTTTCTGACAGTGCTCCAAGAGCATATTCACAGGTAACTTTCCAGTCCATGATGCGCCCCCTATCACCGTCCGTGCTGTTGGCTTCTTTGACGCTTCGCTCGACTCATCTTTGCCGTCCTTTTGGCCAGCCTTATTTCGGTCCGCGGCTTTGGATTTCCCCTTGGACTCACCAGCAGCCACGAAGTCGCTAATGGAGATTTCTGCTGGAGGCGGTTTGGGGGTGTTTTTAGATCCACCACGGGGGCCGCCTCCCTTCTTCGGGCCCATAGTAGATCACGAAAAACCGAGCAAGTCCCCAGTTCCCGGTGTTAGTTAATTCAGTGATTTAATATTTCATCACTGTCACTCAGCTGAAAGTTCGATGTGAGGCTCTGGATCGCTTAATAAGCAGATCTTATCTTATCAGCGCGCTCAGCCTTGTGTTGGTGATTACTACACCTACCCTAGTCACGTGCCACCCCAACCTATTCATTTAGTGTAACTCGCGTAGTTAGATTACAACACAACATAACAACATTATCCTTCAAGAGGTTATGAAGCCCTTCACAAGCAATGAATAACTGCAATAACATGCTAAATTGACATCTTCACATGTCATTACAAGTGTGCCTAGATGATTTATTAATTAATTGAACTTATGATGAACCTGAAATCAGGTGAAAAGCCTGACTTAATGAAGAATTACATGCTAATATATAGAAGAAGAAATTCACAAACATCTGAAATATAAGAAGAATTGAATATAAGCTTATCAACATCTGTAATAAACTGAAAAGTAACTGTCTCAGAGATATTTAAGCTGAATAAAACTATTACAGAGAAACAGTCAGATAAGTTTAATATATATAAAGACTCAGTTAAAGATATCAGTGAGATGTCAGATAATACAGAGAGCTTAAGTAACTGAAATAATAATAGCTTAGTAAGTGAGAAGACTTATATAAGACTTGAAATTACAAGACTTCAGTATGAGATTAAGTGTATAAAAATCAGTAGAGATAAGACTTTTATAAGTAATAAGATAAGAGTGAATCTGATAGAATATCTTCAATGAAAAGAGAAGATATCTATTATAATAAAAGTTCTTAAAGAATTCAGAAGCTAAGTAAGACTTATTAAAAGACTGATAGTTCTCACTGAATTTATTAACTACTCAATATAAAGAGAGAAAATTCTTTTAACTGTAGAACAGTCTGAAACTGATGATATTCTTAAAGATAATAGTTTTAATAAGAATATTACTATAAATATACAATGTTTCTGAAAAGAATACAATTTTTAATTATATAATTATATATAGTCTGCAATTACTCTGCAGATCAAGACTTATTTCACTATACTTAAAAAGTTCAAATTATCAGCTTATACTCTATAAACTATTATAGAGAATAACTTTTCTGAGAGATCTGCTATACACAGAACTCATTTATTTAAAGAGCTTGTTAAAATAATCTTTAAAAGTAAAGAATCTGACAGAGCTTTCATTGAATATCTGATTATTATAAGAACTGATTATATCTGTCTGAAATATAAGATTGAAAATATTGTATTTTTCAATAGACTACTGATAGAAGTTAATAGAGATTGAGCATTCTTTATAAAGAATAGAATGAATTAGATTGATAAGAACAATTTAAGATCTTTAGAAGAAGACTTTATAAGATTATACTATAACATACTTCTATATCTTTCTACTGTGAAAAATAGTAGTACTGAATTCATGAAAAATTCTGTGAATAACACTCAAGACAAGAATAAGAAAGACAAGAATAAAGATAGTGATAAGAATAAAAACACTGAATTCAAATCTGAATGTAGAGATAATAATGCAAGAATCTACTATTATTATTAAAAGATTAATTATATTCAGACTAACTATTGAAAGAAATACTCTGAGAAACATTCTTCAAACTTCAATATAAATAGAAACAAGAATAAAGATAATGTAAGAAGTCTACACTGAATAAAGTGTAAGAGGCCTACACTGAATAAATCAGTATAATATTGATAGATCTTATATAACAAAGATAAAAATGTTAGAGAAGAAAAGAAAGAGAAAGTGCGAGAATCAGCAATCAAGGTAAATATTTATATGCATATGTGATGATGTATGTGATGAAGCTTCGGAGTAGAAGAATATACACATGTTTATAGTGACTGAGAATCAGTGATCAGAAATGGCTGAGAATTGAAGTGTATACTACACATGTTTATAGCAGCTGCAGATCAGCAATTGAAAATGACTGAGAATTAAAGTGTACACTATACATGTTCATAGCAGCTGTGAATCAGCAATCAGAAATGAAAGAATCTATAAAGTGTAATGAAATAGTCTATATAATTGATCAGGTGCAGCTTATTACATTAGTTCTCTCTTTTCAGAAGTAGTTCTCATTGATCAAGAGCTGCTGTTTCAGATAACACAGAACTCAGAGTTCAGATCAGTTGATTATAGCTGACTCATTTCATCAGATATTGTTAACTATAACTGCAGAATCTCTCATTGAGAATATCTTCAATCTCTCACTCAAGCTCATTATCTTCTTCTATGATGTCTGACAGCTGTTAGTCAGAAGTTAGCTGAGAAGAGAATGAATCAGTGACAGCACAGCAGAGCAAGCTTGTATGAAATATATTATAAATTTCTAATAATGTGTTAAGACAGTAGTTGTGACTATCTAGAACTTCTATTACTTTATATCTGATATAACAGTAGTCTAGCATACAAGATGAATGTGTGATTTGTATATTCTTGAGATTCAATCACACAAGATCTTCTATCTTATACTACTCTGTAGAATCTTGTCAGATATTAATTTAATCTTCTTAATCTTATTTTACAGTTGTTATGAAGGCCTCTGCTCAGTTATAAGTGTCTCAGAGCTTCATTACTATATTATCAGTGATCTGAATTGAACTGTGAGAGTTTAGTGTGAACTGTGTAATCTCTAGAAGATTCAACACTTTCATATAGTATCTGTGTGTAAGAAAGAACAGGCTTACACCTGTTAAAATAACATCTTGACTGTTGATAGTAATCTCTGCATGTAGAAGAAGATCATATCAATCATCTTATAAGTAATTGCAGAACTTATAAAGATAATTCTTTATAATCTGAATTATTCATTCTGATGTATTATCAGTCTTGAGATGATAGACAGTTGACAGACAGTGTGTAATCTTGAGAACTTGACAGATTCTTGTTCAGAGAACACTCATGAATTGACAGTCTTAATCTGATACTATCAATCTCAGTAATTCATGCATTCAATAGAATGAACTCTGTAAGAAGACTTCAGTGACTTATTCAGTGTTCATCTTATCATAAGATTTCAATATTACACTCTTACTTAGTTAGTCAATGATGATCAGAATATTCCTGCAGCTCTTACTCTCAGATAGATTAATAGTGAAGTTAATTACTATATCTTATCAGATTCTATCAGAGATATTAAGTGATTTCAGTAGATCTTTTCTACAGTTCTTTCATGAGATAATAGAAGAATAGTAATTGCAGTTTCAGACAAAGTGTCTGATACTATTTAATATCTCAGATCAGTAGAATTCTCAGAAGATTATTCTATACAGTTATTTATAACTTAGATAATCAGTTATATGCAAATCATGCATCTCTTGCATTATTCAAGTGTGTAAGAGTTTAGAGTGAGAAACTCAGCATTGTTCACAGAATTATAGAGTGTTATTATTATTAATTAAGCATTCTGAGATATCAGTTCTGATACATAGTTCTGAGAGAAATCAGAGTACTTCTTGATATATCACTTCAGTGAGAGTCTGAAGAAGTTCATCAGTCTGAGCTGCTGTATATCATAGTTCATTCAGTGTAGAGAAAGTGAAGATATCAATATCAGTTCTAATCAGAGAAGTATGTATGATACTGTAAGCTGTTCTATCTTAATCAATTAATATCTTCAGATTCAAGAGCTGATACTCTCAATTCATTCAGTGAGTATCTGTTATATCAGATGATATATCTTACTCTCATTATAAGAGAACATCTGTCATTGAGTTCTGACTGTCAGAATGATAGTGTATTATAAAATGAAAGCAGCTTAGAAACTCAGATCATTGCATCTGTCATTCAGTAAGTTTATAAGTAGTTATAAAGTATTTAAGATTCTTATAATCTGTGACTATCTTAAATTCAAAGATACTTCAGAGTTCAGAGTCTCATTCTTCTAAATAGTATACAATTGTGAGAAGTTTCTTATCATAGATCTCATAATTGCATTCAGCAGAACTCAGTTTCTTAGACATGAAGACACATGATTATAGAACATCTTTATCATCATATTATAATATCACTTCTTCTATTATATAGTCAGAGAAACAGCTTCAACAACTGTCTTACAATCAGAATCAAATGTTATCAGTAGAGAGATATTAATGAACATCTTCTTCATCTGTGTAAATGCAGCTTCAGTGTTTACTGATTATTAAAATACTGAGTCTTTCTTAGTAAGATCTGTAAGTGATCTTGTAATATCTGAGAAGTTTTATATAAATTACTGATAGAAGTTAGCAAATCTGATAAAGCTTTGTACATCTTTCACAGTATACAGAGCTTCTCATTCAAGAATAGCAGAGACTTTCTTAGAATTCATTTAAATTCTCTTATCAGCTTCTATAATAAAACTCAGATACTTAGTACTCTTAACTTTAAAATCACACTTGTTAATATCTATTAGTAGTTCTGCTTCTTATAGCTGTTATAATATCTTTTACACATATTCTTGATGTTCTCTTCTGAATTCATCAGTGAAGATGAGAATGTTATCTAGATAAGCAGATACAAACTTATTAAGAAAATCTCAGAGTGCTCAGTTGATATACTTCTGAAATGTACTGAGAGTATTAGTCAGTTCAAAGAGTGTGACTATTCATTCAAAGAGGTTATAATGTGTTTAAAATACTGTAAGTCATTCATCTTCTTCAGTGATATAAATCTTATGAAATGCAGTAATGATATCTAGTTTTATAAACTATTAAGCTTATCTGATCTGTGCTAGAGTTTCATTAATAAGAGATAAGAGATATCAATCTTTCTTTGTCAATCTGTTCAGACCTCAGTAGTTTATACAGAATCAGAGTTCTTCACCTAGTTTCTTTACAAAGAGAATAGAGGCTGCAGTGAAAGAGTTGCTATGTGATTCGGAAGAACATACGACCGTCAGATAATAACGCGGCCGCTTCCGAACTACTAGCGTACGAATGTAAAGAGGGCCCTAGCGGCCACTAATTAATTTAGTGTACGAGATTCAATATATAAGAAGCCGGCGTACGCCTGTAATTATACACTGACTTAAGCAATCTTTGAATCACATCTGATAGCATGTCTAAAAACTGG